TGGTTTGCTCTTATTCAAGCTTAAGTTGTTGACTTCAACTGGTCGCGATGTCTTGCTTATTTTTTGAAAATGACCCAGAATCTTCTACAGGACCATTTTCAATCATACTTTAATACCAACGTCGTTCGGCTCTTGGATTCTTACTTCAAGTTCTTTCGATGATCTTGAGAGGATCAGAATGTCCTCATCCACAGATCGCAGATGGCTGGCTTAAGTGGAGCCGATGTCCTCATATGTATCCAATCCCTCGTATCCTCAGCCCCTGATTATCCCAGTTATGTTTCTTGGGAACCTCTTTTATGGCTGCGATGAATAACTTCGGTGATATTTTTTAATCATAGTTCAGAACAATGACGTTGAAGTCTTAAAGTTCTATATCACACTTTGCATGTTAACTGCTTTGACTTTAATCAGATGTTTAGTTTGCAAAGTGGATTACAGCGGATCGAATCCAGACGACGTTTCACAATTACGTACCATTTCCCTGAGTCATTCCTGCCCGAATTTGAACCTTGGCTCACCCTCCTCATTTCTTTCAGCGTCTAACAGTCCTGTTACCGGGGTAATCTTCAGAGTAAGCCATTTTTGAAAAAAACATTTTGTGCTGAAGTTATTTTTGATATGTACTGATGTTTTGATATGTACTGGCATTTTAGACTGTTTATAATTATATAATTATAAATAACACGGTAGTGATCGCTGAATATGTATCTTTGAGCAAGTTTCTACTAATATTTATTGTTTGCATCCAGTAGTGATTAACACCCAGTTATCAGTTGGTCAATATCTTATTTTCCATTCACTATTGACTGCAATTTACCACTGTCGTTGTTTCTTGCAGGAAATTAATTTTTTTAAAATCACGTTTTTTTATGCTAGCCTTTTTAGCGCGAATTGCAAGTACAAAGGAGAAACAGGTGATTACTATATTAAAACCATCGAGTTTGTTTTGCAACGTGTATTTAATTTTACAGTAATCGCCTGTATCGCCGCAGCTACAATGCGAGCACTTCGCCGATACTGGCACGTTGTAGTTCACCTGTTCCGAAAGGTGAGTGTTTGCACTTTTTGTACATTTGAGATTTCTGTTCTTGTTTTTTTTCGTATGCAGTGGCGAAGTTTTAAGTAGCTGTTTAGAGCATTTGGAATATCTCGATCTTGTTATCATATTGCCTGTTTACATTAACAGTATTTTTATTTATGATGTAAAATTTTATCGCCGTGAAACTGCATTTAAGTCTAACGTAGCACTATCGTGTATTTATATGGTATACTACTCTCTTGGTACTGTTTTTAATATATTTGTTGCCACTCTAATCTAAGTGCATAAGAGCTTGAACAGAATATGAGGGTGGATTTATAGCTGCATGCTTTATCAGTAATATTTCTTTATTCATTACCGTCTAGAGTTGGTTTTCAGTAAAGCACTAATTCTTATTTACGCCAATACTGCTGTAGCGAATGATTTATACAGTTCATTACACCAGGTGTACGCCAGGGTCGCACTATCCTTACTT